AGACTTTCAAAATTGTACTGTTTGTTTCTCAGTCAAGAAAACAAACATTAGGTGAGTGAGTCAGTTGGAAACAGTGAACTAAGACTGCTTGACAAGTGCGCCACCTCTTGGAAATGGGGCATAAATGAATTCAAAAGGAAAGGTAGTGGTTTTTGTATTGCTTTGACACTGAACTCATTCACTGTGACTCTCTAGCGCAGTAATACACAGCAGTTTCTTCAGTCTTGAGGCTGTTCATCTGTAGGTACAGTTGACTGCTGGAATCATCTCTGGACACTGTGAACCTGCCCTGGACTGACTGGGAATAGTACTTGTCAGAACTGGTTGTGCCAGTAGTTGAAACCCATTCCAGTCCTTTACCGGGTGCCTGTCTCACCACAGCTGCCCAGTAGCTGCTGAATGTAAATCCAGAGGCAGTACAGACCAGCTGAAAAGATTCACCTGGTCTTTTTACCACATCTTCAGATTGAGTGAATGTCTGACAATGAATATCTGTGGAAGAGAGAGAAATGTAATAAACTGAAAAGTGAGGGGAAAAAAGTGTAACTGTGCTTTGCTAAAAGTATTTATACAGTAATGTATCATTATTATTATTTAGAAAATAACAAACCATGTAAAAATAGTAATATCAGGACTGAATTCATTGTTGTTGCCATTGCTAATGATGCTCTTCGACAAAAATCACATACAGTCAGTGAACAGAAACACTTCTGTAGGCACAACGGCTTATGAGCGATAAACATCACAGTTTTACATGAACTCCTCCTCCAGCCTGTCAATATGAAAAACAGAAATTTCTACATAAATTAAAATGCAACATTAAGTTTGTGACAATAAATTTGAATATGTGACATTTATGAGAACACATTTTTATAAATGTTAAATGATTATTACTTTAATATTTTTTTAAAATTTTCGGCTGGATGAAAAGTGGGATGGATTAATAAATCCTTATGTGTCAATGGAGATTACTGTATACCATCCTGAGAATGACGATATCGTTTTATCGTTTATCTAATAATATTTCAATCAGAGCATTATGTGTGACAATCGTGTGTTTTCTTTCAGCCGTTTAGAATCAGTACTGGTGATTGCAGATTCGTGAATGTTCACTCATGCACTGAATTGTTTGCAGTGGTTTCTCATACACAAATAGTAACGGAATGTTTTATAAGAAATAAAATAAAAAGATCACTGAATGAGGTGGATATTTACCTAAAATCTATTGTAGGAAACAAAACTTGCAAAGGCCTTTTATCGTTTATCAACAACAAAGCAACTCTTTATTGCGTGGGCAGCTTGTAAACGACTCTGTACTTCAGTTGAAGATTATTTATATATCTATTTATATCCCAAAATGTCTCAAAAAGATTATGGTGGGGGCTGGTGTTGGGTACTGATGGAAGACTAGAAATGCCCCTGGTATTACATATATCTGATTCATGTGTTCTGTTTTTGTGCAGAGCTGTGGCTTGTTTAGTCACTGTGACTCTCTTGCACAGTAATACACAGCTGTATCCTCAGTCTGAAAATTATTTCCCTGTAGAAACACTGTGTTTTTGGACGTATCCTGGGTGAAACTGATCTTTAATGTCAGTGTCACCACTGCTACAAAGATATCCGAGCCATTCCAGTGCTTTTCCAGTGGGTTAACGGATCCAGTGAATGCAATAGCTTGATTCTGAACTCCTGCAGGAGATGGAGAATGATTCTTGAGGTTTCACAACCAAATATGGAGGTTGAGTACTGTGTCATGTTGTTAACAAACGTATGAAGCAATAAGAGAAACATACAAAATGTGCAGAGCGGGGGTACGCGAGGACTGGAATTGAGAACCGCTGTTCTAGACATGCCCAAAATTTGAAGCTACAGCACAGCACCTCTTCTTCTTGGTTTTCTCTGATGCACTAACTCTGCAGCAGCTCTTCTTCTTCGTCGTCTCGTCTCATGCACTCACTCAACCAAGCGTTCTAACCACAACCTCGCCCCTCCCCACCCCTCAACCATTCGAATTTCTGTATGCGGGAATTATTTGTAATGAAATTCTAATGAGCCGCTTTGTGATATCACAAAGCCCGGAAACCAAACGCTGTAGTCCAAACGAGCCGTTCGTTGTAGTTCTTGAAAAGGGATTTTTAAAAAACTAAATATCTCCCTTTGGAGTGAACTTTGAGATTTGTAACTTTCTAGATCTTTTTAATGCCCAAACATACACACTACACACTGACTAAAATAAAAAAAGTGAAAAAGCATAATAGGACCCCTTTAAAGGAAAAGACCACATGTGCTGCTCTGTGTTCAACATTATGTTTTGCAAGTGTGTTTCTGGGGTTTGCTGCATTGCAGGGGCGGACTTACCAATTAGGCAAAGGTAGGCGACCGCCTTGGGCCCCCACCTGCAGGTGTACGGCTGTACGCACTGTGAGTACCATGAGCGCTCAGACTGATCTCAGATTTGCCCCGCAAACATTTCAGCAGTTATAATAGGCCTGTGTCTCCCGTATTTCTGTCGACCTGTTCCTAGACTTCTATTGTGGTGGAATCTTCAATAATGGTGTTATCTTCCATAATTTATCTGGGCTTTCCTCAGAAAGTTCCTCTGACACTTCTTTTTCTTTTGACACTGAAAGGCAAAAATCGAAATTATTTTGATCGAAGTAGACACAACTCTTATCCATCTGGAGGCAACATAAAAACAAGCTATCACAGACCCTCTTACAGTGGAGGAAGATGGAAAGGGTGAGGACTGAAATACAAGTGATACTGTGAGGTGTAAATGATCATCTCAGTTTTATTGAAATGTCATAATAATATAAGTTTAGTTTGATTAGCAGTATTTGGATATGAAACATTGTCTAAAATTATATTACAGTCATCAGCGTCACATAATTTACTTCCACTGATCTATAATAGAGAACATATACAGTATATAGATCAGTGTTTGCTTCTGCTATCACATGCTGAGAAGACGTAAGAATATAACAATTTCCTGATTGCATTTTCTTCTATTTATGTTTGAATGAGCATGTTATTAGCTTTAACAGAATGTATTTTAGAATACTTTATAGAATTTACATAAGTCTTATGAAACTATACATGTATGTTCACTTATTTGTTTAGAGGCAATAACCAAACGCAGGTGTTTCCTGAGGGTCACACATCAGTAATTTTTTTTTTTCTTCTTTTTTTGGTAGACACTCTCTTGTCTCCATATATGTCTGTTGCTTTCATAAAAGTAATTACTATTATTTACATTTTTAAATGTTTTTATTAGTCTCGCTAATAAATTACTTTGGTAAGACAGAATGAAAATGAGAATGGATCAACAAATAAACAATTCAATCATGACCTTGTCAGCAATTATATCTATTCTGCGGTATCCATTGTATCTATTAAGTTGTATCCACTTATTTTTGACCAAAATTATGTTACAGCGACCAAAGACTTCAAAGATGCCTTTTTGTCTGAGGCCTTTTCACCCGATGTCTAATTGACGTTTTTTCTGAAAGCCTTTCAGTCTGAGGCATTTGGTCCAATGGCTGAAGCCTTTAAGTCTGAGGTGCAATGCCTTTGTCTCATATGACTGAGATCTGAGGATGTTCTAAAATGTGTACCGTATCGCTGTTTTGTGAAACGTGCCAAGAATACACTTGTAATTCAATTATCAGGAGGCAGGATTATGTCAGTGTAATGATTTTGTGGATGGCAAATGGAGAAGACAGAGATATGAGTTAAAATTTTGAAAGTATCCCTATTTTAACTTTTACTACCAGAGTTTAGAAGGTTAGAACAGAGAGGCAAAAGTTTTGCCTCATAATATATATGCCTATAATGATATTTTAGAACTAGAAAGTTCTAAACTGAACTGTGAAGAACTGTGGTTCAGTTTTTATGTAAACAAAATAAAACATGTTAATGCTTTACCTTAACCATCATTTTTGTGAACATTGAATATAACAAACTGGATCAGAAATACTGAAGATTTTAGTGCAAAGCTGTGTATTTGTGTGCTGAATGTTAGTGTGGTTTTTGAACAAGGCTGTAGCTGCTCTGTGTCACTGTGACTCTCTGGCGCAGTAATACACCGCTGTATCCTCAGTCTGCATATTCTGGCCTTGCAGAGTCACTGTGTTGCTGGAAGACTCTCTGGTAACTTGAAATCTACTTTTGAGTTTATCACTGTAATAGGTGTTACCGCTACCACATATCTCTCCAACCCATTCCAGAGCTTTTCCTGCAGGCTGCCAAATCCAGTGACTGCAGTAGCTGCGGTCAGTTACTGAATATCCAGAGATTTTACAGGACAGTGTCAAAACCTGACCAGGACTTAAGACAATAGAATCAATCTGGGTCAGTTCAACACAATGAACACCTGAGGGGGAAAATATGGCCGGACATGTTAGAGATATGACAATATTGAGTATTTTTATTGTGAAATAAAGAAGCTATGAAGACTTACAAGAAACAGCTGCCAGCAGCAGCAACAGCCAGAGAGATGAGGAGATCATGGTGTGAGACGTGCGAGATCAAGCTGCTTCTTTTCATCCTAATACTAAATAAAGAGGAGGAGGAGGAATGTTTGCATACAATTCTGCATATGCAACCCAGTAAATATGTATCTACATGTTTTTATATATGATTTTTCATTATGTGGTGTTGTTGTTGTTGCTGTTATCTTCAGGAAATACACTGTATTTTAATGTCATTTTTAATCCTTTCCCCAACTAAACTGAGACTAAGAGAGAGTTAGAGAACCTTTAAAGAACAATACAGGGGCTTAACGGGTTATTTGTATGGTAGTGGTGCTATATAGCACCTTAACCACCACAAACAACTGCTGAAGAACCTAATTTTGTGTGTGTGTATATATATTTTAAGAGTGTCTGTGAAATGAACAGTGACAGTAGTTGCACTGCTGATCAAGGCTGATTAGTCAACATTCATCATCTGTATATGTGAATGAGGAAGTAATTTTTGTATTGCTTTGACACTGAACTCATTCACAGTGACTCTCTAGCGCAGTAATACACAGCAGTGTCTTCAGTCTTGAGGCTGTTCATCTGTAGGTACAGTTGACTGCTGGAATCATCTCTGGACACTGTGAACCTGCCCTGGACTGACTGGGAATAGTAGATTGGAGAACGAGCTGTGTCGATGTATGCAATCCACTCCAGTCCTTTTCCAGGGCTCTGTCTGCTCCAGCTCAGATATAGATTGCTGAAAGTAAATCCAGTCCATCCATATTGTATCCATATTGTACATGTAAGCTTGTGAGACTCTCCTGTTTTTTAAACCACTGCTTCAGACTGAGTGATTGTCTGACATTCAATACCTGTGGAAAAAGAAGCAATATTACATGCAATGAAGTATAATATTACATTTTTGCGCTGTTGTTGTTTATGCAGTGACTTACATGGTAAAACTGTCAGAATTACAAATATAAGGAACTTTGGTAGCACTTTATTTTACAGTCCTGTTACTCATGTACATACTATGTACTTATTATAGTAATTACAATAACTAGGTAATAACTAGGTTCTAACCCTGAACCTACCCATAAACCTAACCCTACCCCATGTAGTTACCTTATATTACCAGTACTTTCTTAGGTAGGTACACTGTAAGTACATGTAAGTGCACGTACTAAAATAAAGTGCAACCGAAACTTTTTTTATATGGTGTATGTTAAGTTTAAACTAGAAAGATAGCCTTTGGTTCCAGAGTTCAGATGTCTATTCAGATCTGTAGGGGAATTTACAGTTAAAACCCAAGGACCAGGTGTTGAATGAAGACCAGGAGTCAGAGATGAAATCAATTGAAGAAAAATTTACTGAAGAAAATAGTTTGCAGTTTCATCAGCAGAAGTCAGCTTCAATACTCGCGATGGAGTTCGTAGGCTGCTCCCTTTACATGTCAGAAACACCAGTAATTATACTCTAACAGAGGTCACTAATTACGTCAATACATAGGTGAAACTGATTCTGATTGGTCAGTTTACGGAAAAACAAGTAAACTCTTAACAGATGTACATAAAGTTGATAAAGCATATCTCCGAAGGTTATTTGGATGACAAGTGATTAAAGGTCACACGCAACGTTCTTCTCCTGAGACGTATATCTGCTACCCAGACACCAGAGTGACGGAAGATACCCATATGTGACCCTGGACAACAAAACCAGTCTTAAGTCGTTGGGGTATGTTTGTAGCAATAGCCAAAAATACATTGTATGGGTGAAAATTATCAATTTTTCTTTTATGCCAAAAATCATTAGGATATTAAGTAAAGATCATGTTCCATGAAGATATTTTGTAAATTTCCTACCATAAATATAAAAACTTAATTTTTGATTAGTAATATGCATTGCTAAGGACTTAGTTTGGACAGCTTTAAAGGCAATTTTCTCGATATTTTGATTTAGATTTTTTTTTGCACCCTCAGATTTTAGATATTCAAATAGTTGTATCTCAGCCAAATATTGTCTTATCCTAACAAACCATACATCAATGGAAAGCTTATTTATTCAGCTTTCAGATTATGAATAAATCTCAACTTCGAAAAATTGACCCTTATGACTGGTTTTGTGGTCCAGGGTCACATATGGTCTTTACTCATGGGTGCCGTTTGTGAATCTCCCTGAAGACTGGTAGCAACTGGTCCTGCACGAACAGATAACAACACACATACATAGAGAAACACTGATCTCCGTCAAGGTCGGGTAGCTACGTTATTACCCTTATCAGCTACTCTTCCCAAAACACACAGTCAGGGAGTCTCTTCCATGAGAGAGAAAGAGGGAGAAGATTCAGACCATGTTCAGCATATTCTTTTACATACAGACATATAAAGCAACCTAAATGTTTGGGGTACACATTGGTCACGTAGGCAAGAGGCCCCAATGACCTCTATGGCCTAGGCAATCAGTGACCTATTGAACCGGAGAGGAGAAAGCAGAAGTTTACATATGGAGAGGCCCGTTTCTTCACATCAAAGGGACACAGACACATTCCAACAGCAGTATGCATACATTTCTTTGTGTTTACTACTAATATGTGGTAACTAATAACTTTATTCAATCAACTACACTCTATGAGGTTAAATACTGATTAATAACTTGATTAATAATCACACAAGAGATAATATAATTGATTTTATTATGAAGGCCATGGTAGATCGACATCCACTCCATCAGTGGAGTTTTTTTTTCACTATTTGAGCAAATAGACTCGTGAAGATCAGCGGTGACTTGACTTGACTCGTGAAGATCAATTGTGACTTGACGGGGCGCTGTTGTGTCCACCATTTTGTGATCAGGCTCCTCTGTCGCCACCATTTTGTGAGCGTGATCTAGTGCGGGGACCATTACACGAGTGAGTGCGGGGTCGCGTTCCTCCACAATACCCACAGTGAACATTGAACCAACAGACAATAGAGCATAATCCATACAATTACTTAGAGAAGAATGGGGACCTTCATGGATTAATAGTGTCTTCAAAGGTTCATTGATACCCTCGCAAAAAAAGTCTAACAGTACACAGTCCGGCAGATCTGAATAATGAGCAATGGCTAAATACTAGTATTCTGTTACAGGGCTGACGAGACGTGAGACGTGCGGATCCAGGTGCAAAGCTTTATTCTGGAGACGTGGCCAGAAACAGGCATAAATCAAACGTTGGCAAACAGATATATTGAGGGCAAGACAGCAGAGTAATCCAAAACGGGCGTAGTCGATTAACGGCTAACAATATCCAGAGGGCTTGACATGAGGGGTTATCCAACTGTGTGCAATCAGTGCAATGGATTATGGGATATGTAGTCCGGGATAACATGCAACAGTTTGTGTAGTGCGAGAGTCAATGTAATGGAAGGGTGACCTCTGGTGGTGATTGAACGGAAGTCCATGGACAGGATTCGTGACAATGAGGTTAAATACTGATTAATAACTTGATTAATAATCACACAAGAGATACTATAATTGATTTTATTATGAAGGCCATGGTAGATCGACATCCACTCCTTCAGATCACAGATGCACCAGCATATTTAAAGAAGAAAGGTGATTTGCATATTAAAATCAGAGAACTGATTATATAAAATGCTGACACATATTTGGTACAGACTAAGATTTTTGTGGTTAATGTTTGATCTATATAAACAGACCATTATTTTTCTATTTTTAGAGATAAATGCAAATTTTGTGCATTGTATCACTTTTAATTTTATGTTCTAATGGATTTTAATATAATTTTTTATTTTAATATAAAATTCAAATATGAATATTATAAATAATGAAATTACAGAAAATTATGTTTTCTCAGTACAGTTTTGAAATTGCACAAATTGGAAAATGTTTAAAACCACTGAAAAACTATTTTGAAAAATTCAGTATAGGCATACGACAATATAAATTCAAGTGATAGATTACTGCCATCTATTGGTGTTTAAGCAGGCAGCTCATATCTCATATAGACCTCCTGAACTCGCATCACACAGACAGAATAAGCACTTAAGTTCATTGACTGACACAGATCTGTTGATGAAACCCTCAATGCTGCTCAAACACTGCTGAAAACATCTATCCCACCTCTGAGACAACAGCAAAACAGGGTCAAAACAAGCTCTATCAAAATACACCTTTACTGACCAACAGACTTTCTAACCTCATGGGAAGAAAGCAAAGTCATGCAAACTATATTGGATTTTATTGACTTTCTATTGAAACATAATTTACTATTATAGTGCTTATTTTAGCTAATTATTATGTTTTTTTAATTATTATTATTAGGTCATTGTTGTTTTTCCAACTGAATAAATGCATATTAAGTTTTGCTCATTAATCGTCAAATGAATTTCAGCTGTGAATGATGAACATCAGTGAATATCAGTTGTGAAAACTTAAAAGGACAAAACATGATAAATATTGTAATGTTAATATGATGATGTTTTTGTACAGGGAGGCTATTGGCGTCTGTTACTCCCTCCTGTGATCAGAGGAATGTATAAACTGACTCACGCCTGCTGTTTAAATATGCAATATGAGATTTACATAGTCATACAGAGCTACTAATCAAATCTACACGCTACAAACATATTAATGCAAGGCTTAATATCTTTCATTAGAGACTTTGACATATTTATATTTTTAGATCTTTTTCTCTAGTGGACATGAATCGATTTTACATCATTTTCATCTCCATCTATTCTAATTCTTTTTGAGGCATTTATATAACTGATATACTGTATTGATAAAGAACTTTTTGACAACAACAATAGCAGTAGTTCATTCAGTAAGCATGTTTCTGTTGGACCTGCATCAGTTTAAAGGCCTCTAAAAATGTTGATAAAATATGATATGATTCATATGCACTTTTATATGTAAGAATAATTTTTTTGACTTTTCATTCAAGATGTTTTAGAGCAGAACTGCTTGTGGTTTATCACTGTGTTCACTTTTGTGCAACATAAAACACTGTTGTGTCATTCATCATCATATTCTGTCCTTATAGAGTTGTTTTACTCCTGTAAGAGTCTCTGGTAACGTAAATGGGGTCATAGGATGCGATTTCAATTTTTCCTTTCTCTATGAAGTGTTACAAGCTCTTGGTGCATAAAGAAGATCTGTAAAGTTGTAACTGTAAGTTGTTTTATGTTTACATGGCGCGATGCAATGCAATGCGTAAAAACTCACCAAATACACAAAATAATGTTCTTTTTAGCAACATCATATGACCCCTTTAAAAGTCTGCTTTATAGTTTGTGACTGTAAAGTGTGTAACTGCTCTTACAAATCTACACATCAGAAGACTCATGTTGTGTTGAGCTTTTTAGAGTGAACTTCACTGCATACCATCGCCAGTAACGGTATATCATCTCATTAGGCCGCATTTTATAGATTTTTTTTTATTCTCTGCTGCCACCTGTTGACTTCTAGTAACAAGTGATAATATAGCCAGTGTGTTTTTGTTCAGCCGTACAAGACCTTTGTGTCACTGTGATTCTCTTGCACAGTAATACATGGCTGAGTCTTCTGCTGTCAGGCCTGATAGTTTCAGATACACCATACTCTTTGAATTATCTCTGGTGATTTCAGTTCGACCTTTGAAGGATTCAGAGTAGTCATAGCCACTGCCGTCACTATAAACACATCCCATCCACACAAGTGGTTTTCCAGCTTGTTGTCTGATCCAGTGCATGTTACAGCAGTCAAAGCTGAACCCGGATCCTCTACAGGACAGAGTCAGAGTTTCTCCAGGCTTTTTCACAACTGTGCTTTCAATGGACTCCATACTTTGACATTTTGTACCTAAAAAGAAGATTGAAAAGGCTGATTTCATTTGGAATCTGTTTACTCTAGAACTGATAATAGACATGTAGGAAAACTCACGTTGTAGGCTGAATGAGAGCAGCAGTAAGCAGAGCGCATTCTTCATCTTGAAAGTGGTGATGTAACACTTCAGAACCATTGAGAAGCGCATAAATACTCAACGGACATTCAGGGGTTTGATTTGCATTGGGAGGGTCACAAGGTGCAATCATGACTGAAGGGCCAAACTATTAAAGAACAATATGACAAACTATTACCTAACCATTACAAACCTAGTTTATTACTTACAATTCTGAATAT